CCCATCGCCTCCATCTACGCCTGGACACAAGGTCTGGCCAAGCGTGGTGAGCTGGACAACACACCTGAGCTCGTCGTTTTCGCCGAGCAGCTCGAGAAGGCTTGCGTGGACACTGTGGATATCGACAAGATCATGACTAAGGATCTGGCCCTTGCGTGTGGAAAGAAGGACCGGGCGTCTTGGGTCACCACCAATGAATATCTTGATGCCGTCGAGAGGAGATTAAAGTCGAGCTTGAAGGAGAAGCTATAGATGTACAGAAGTGTTGAATAGTCGCGTGGGATATTCCTTGCATCGGATCACTCGGTAACAGCGTGATACCTAGACCTGACCATGTAGACGGAGTTCTGCTTACTCTTGGGCAGGAATCGATTGTTCACAAATTCAATTGCGCCTGTGCATGTCTTCCTTTGCCAGTGAGGCGCGAGAGCGCGAGGCATCTTTTTTTGGCAGGGAGCTCGTGCCATGTCGTCTCCACATGTTCCCGGAGCACGTTGCTTTTGATGAACTGGGTTTACGCTAATTTCCGATGGGACCCAAATCCTCAAAAAGAAACCAGTCTCTTGCATGTCTCACGGCAGTATGCATATGCGGGACGATCTGATGTTTGTTTGTTACACAGCTGATTGCAAAACATTTGTCGCGACTGTCTTGTTGAATCCCTAAGGCTTGCATACTTTGCATTCAGTTTAGCAGCTCTGTGTTGGGCCCTCTTGACCTCTTCGATAGTTGCTGGCCGTCTCATCCTAGACAGGATCACATGATGGAGGCGTTCACTGATGCCGCTCCCGGGACTAACCCGACTAAAGCCGCTAGGACCTACAGTGCGAGCCCGACCACCACGCCAGCCTCTGTACCAAATGACAGCGCAGGATCTACAGCCACCATTACCACAACGTTTCCGTCGCCTAAAAAGCACGGCAGTCCCTCGACTCCCGACTCTACTCCATTGCACCGACGCTTTCTGCGAGCAGTCTCGATGCCGCCTGCGACACCGTCGCGTCCGCCCACGGAGAGCCAGAAATCTTTCGAGAAGGCGCGCGACAGCCCAGTCGTAGTTCGCCATACTCCCAAGAGGACACAACTATCGCCGATGAAGCTCGAAGTTGGCCAGGGCGCGTTCTACTTCTCAATTGAACTGCCCCCCAACAAGATCACGCCAAAGAAGAGTGGAACGACAAGCAAGAGCCAGACACCAAAGGGAGAAGACACGCCCACGAGGACGAGGACGCCTAGCCCGTTGAAGAAGGCGAGCCCGACGAAAGAGAATGCAGTGAGTACACCCACGAGGGCGACGCGCAGCCCAATCAAGCGTGATGAGTCGACCAAGCAGAGCCCTGCGAGGCCGTTGTTTGGTACGCCGACGCGAGCGAGGATGCACAAGCAAGATGCGGATCCACGAACTCCTGTTCGGACAACGCCTAGCCCGCGAAAGAATCACAGCGCAGTGAAGCAGAGTCCTGCCAAGATAGCTACTGTCACTCCGAAGAGAAAAGGCTTGCTCAAGACACCTGGAAGTAATCGACCTGGAAGTCCCATCAAGCGCTCGATTGAACAAGACGACTCACCCGTAGATCCGCTCAAGACATCTGCACGGATCGCGAGAGAACTCCTATCAGGGCCAGAGGAGACAATTCGAATGGTGCCCGAACGTCTTGTGGACCTGAAGGACGAGCACGCTCCAGCAACTTTGGTCGCGACTGCCACCGACCCAGCCCCGCACCACGAACCCACGAGGCAGGCGCCACCAGCGAACAAGTGCCCAGAAAACATTGGACACCTCATGGCAAGCCTTATCAGCAACACTACCAGCACGCGTGACTGGGGGACCGCCTACAACAACGACATGATCTCCCCGATACCGACGCCATTACGCAAGGCCTCTGAGAAGCTCAAGCTGGGAGAGTCGCCTTCTTTCCTGCGGATGTCAGCCAATGGTACGACCACGATGACCAATGCAGACCCTACTTCCGATGTCAGCAAGAGAGGGTCCTTGAATCTACATGAACCTGCGTCAGTCGACCCAGGACAGGACAAAAGTAACCAGATTGAGTCATCGTCATTTGGATTAACCGAGGCAGCTCTTCCCTCTTCCATTACCACAGATCATACTGCGGACGTGTCAAGCGAACCGCGATCTGCACTTCCGTTACGTGCAGCCAGTCTGGGGTCTTTCAACACCCTGAACGCGACTCGCGAGGTACCAGCCCCACCACACCGCCCGCTTCTCTTCCCAAAGCGGAGGTCGGAGGCCCCTCAGAAAGAGCCATCGCAGCAAGAACACCAGGCCAGGTGGCAAGATATGGAGACTGCTTCTTTAAAGCCCCTGCCTGCAAGCCATCAGAGGCGGGTGGGGACTGATCCAAGTGTACTTTTGAAGATGCAAAAGGACATGGCTAATTTGGAAGCGACGATGCGCCGCTCGGCAGGTGTTGTCGACCCTGCCTTTTGCGGTCCGCTCAATCTGAATGAGCTCCCTGCAATGTCGAACGACTACTTCGTTAGAGGCCAGCACGATATCAGAAGTCCAGGTGTTGTTGGTACACCAAAAACCCTCAGTAGAGCCAACTCCGACAACCCATCGATTGGTGCTGTGCAAGCGAATGGAGGGAGAAGTACCGAAAAGCCGGTAGCATCGTTGAACGTTTCTGGCACGCCAGGTATACCACGATGGAAACCTAGTGCTCCTACCTCAGCACAAGCAACGAGAGACCGTCTTCTTGCAGCTAAGAAGGAAACTCCTCAGCGTATGGGTGCGACTAAAACTGCGGTTCCCGAAAGATCCCGCCCTCGATCAAAGACCACAGTGTCAGTAACAGGCAAGTCGGCTGCGGTCACTAGCACACCTCGCAAGACCCCAGCCACTCCAGCCAAACCCGTGGCACCTCCTGGTACAACAACACTCAGCTCCCCACGCAGCCGCATACCATCAGTGAACGCCGCTAAGCCCAGGATGCGAACACAGTCTGTCCCTCAAGCTGGTTCAAAGCCGCTTTCCAGTGCCTTAGGCCATAGTAAGGCTGTCGCAGCATTGAAAGAGCGTTTACCAAACGTACCAACGGCCCCGATCAACACCAGACCTGTTCCGATCCGCAAACCTGTGGTCCCCTCCATTCCAGCCACTCAAGTTCCTTCGGCAGGTCCGCGACCGTATGAACAAGAGTTCGCTAGCGCTGGAGATATTGCTGACCGACTTGCTAATTGGCACGACGAGGATCGGAAGAAAGCGCAGATCAATCGTCCTACGGTCGCAGTCAAGAACACACCAGCGAAGACAGAGGCAGGAGGCCAGGCGGACGAGTCTACTACACCAGACGGCTCACCTGCGAAGATCCTGACACCCGCCAAGGTACCTGCATCAACTAGGACTGCAAAAGCCCTCCCTCCCGCCAAAGACGTCAAATCAAGACCGCTCTCCAACAAGCCAAGTGCTCCATCAACGCCCAGATCTAAGCCCAGCGCGCCGGCTCCCAATACGCCAGCCCCAAAGACTCCAGGTCCAGCGCTTCGCAACGCCGCTGCCGTCAACAACAACCTCCGCCAACCCATAACCGCGGCCAAGACCCCAGTGAACCGCCGCATACCCGTCCTCGACCGCAACGCGACGCGCACACCGAGCAAAGCCATCGTGAGTAGTCTGGATCAAGCGATCGATAGGAAGATTGCAGAGGACGCGAGACGTGGGATGGAGTTTACGCCTGGTGGGAATCGGCTGAGGGATTTGCTGGATGCCAAGTCGATGAATGGGGGTGTTGTGCAGGTTTTGGAGGAGGAGGAGGTGGTGTAAGGATCTGTAGGGTCGCTGCAAGGGCGATGAGGACGTTTGGTGTGGACAGAGGGGTTATTTCGGCCTTCTGTTTTTCTTTTGTCAAGTTCTGATGATGAGTGTGGCGTTTACTACTAGTGTGTATGGGAGGAAAGGTTCTATTGATGGTGTTTATATAAGGAAAACTGTGTAGATTGGAAGAAAGTTAATGTACGACTGCTATTGGAATTCTACATCGACTACGCCTATTCATCTTCTACTTCCTACTTCCTACTACCCTCCCTATAACTCTTCCCAAACACATCACCTTCATCATCAGACTCGCCCATCTCTTCATCGCTATCTTCATCACCGCCGTCATCCCCAGAGTCTGAGTCTTCGCTCCGTCCCATCGTGTGACTAGATGTCTCGCTCGCCTCCTCATCTCCGTCTTCCTCCATACTCTCATCTGAATTCTCTTCGCTGCCACTAGTCTTCTTACCATCATCATCTTCGTCCCCCGCTACAGTAGAGCCAGACGACTCCGACCGACCTAAGGTGCGGCTAGACGCCTCACTTCCCTCATCATCTCTACTATCTCCACTATCTCCACTATCCTCGACATCCTCACTAACTGGGCCTTCTGCCAGGCTATCCCAGCTACGACTACGCCCAGAGGCCGATGCGACCCCATCTCCTGCTGTATATTCTCGCCCATCGAATCTTCTTTCACTCTGAGCGTTTCGTCGCTTGGTAGCATGAGTTGCGCCAATGCGAAAGGGATCGTCTTGGGTGGGCATGTCTGCGGCAGGGTTGTAAGTGTGGTACTGGCGCATTGTACCGTTGGAGCGGAAGCTAGTGGCAATGAGAGGACCGAAGGGGTTGGCGGGGGTGGTGTGCCGTGGTTCATGTGAGGTGGTGTTGGGCATGGTGGGTGATTTTGTCGTGATGATAATATTGATGATGTATGTGCGAGATGGATACGTTATCATGACAAAAAGAAATTGGGGAGACTTTATATAGGCCAGGCGCTCTTCAACAAAAGACAGAGTCTTGGTGCTGTTTCTTAAAAGTAGGACAGGAGCGTTCGAGGGTCTCACATCGATGTCTTGTGTAGAGAGATTTGGGTTGAGACAGAGACATAGTTGTGGGCTAAATGTTTGAGATTCTAGCTAGAGGTATCGGCTACAGCATCTCATCCGATAGAAGGACGACATTCAAGTCCAAGTGCCCTAGTAGCAGTAGTAGTGAAAATCTAGATCGTGTACAGATACCTCGGGTTATCCTCACCCATCTCAGCAATCTCCTCTTCAGTCTTACCCTCGATCCTCCAGTCCTCTTTGCCAGACAGCTTCCTGTTATTCTTCATGCGGAAGTAGAAGTGCAGCGCAATGTAGATCGCGATACCGAGGGCTAGCAGCCCGATAGTAGCTCCGTAGCCCGGAATGTATGTTGGCGCGGTGTCGGCGGCGTACAAGAAAGGTGCTGCAACACCTGAGCAGTTACCGATGGTGATCTGCATACCGCTCGCGAAGGCTCGCTTTCCGTATCGGGGATTGTTGACAGCGATCCAGGAGAAGGCGATGCCGGTGGCGACCCATAGGCCGAGCGCGACGATGAAGCAGCCCGCGAAGCTGAGGCCAAGTCCCTATACGCATGTCAGTACAGTTGTTGGAATTGTGGGATGTTCAGGGCCTACCTTGTTTGCGATGAGGAAGATGTACCCGATCATACTAACAGCGAGCCCACCTATACAGTAAAGACCTCTGTTTTGCGACTTGTCGCTGAAGTATGCGCAGATGACGTAGGTAAGGAAGCCGCAGACATAGACGGGTATCGTCAACGCCTGAACCACTTGACGGCTCCATCCACCTCCGAGACCGTTGATGATGGTGGGTAGGAAGACGGAGAAACTGTAGAGCATGCCTAGTCCAACGAATTGCGCAATGGCATAGGCGTAAACCTTCCAGTCTTTCACACCCTTCATAACATCCTCGCGCGCGAGTTCCTGACCAGAAGTTGTTTGGCCGACTTCCTTCATTCGGAGCAGAACAAGGTTCCGGCGGTCTTCCTCGGTCAAAAAGCTGGCCGTCTCGGGGCTGTTGGGTAGGACGAAAGGTACGGCGACGGCGGTGATCACAGTTGGAATGCCGTTGATCAAGATGATCCAACGCCATCCGTTCCAGCCTGCTACACCGTCGAGCTCACCGATTGCGTACGCTACAACACCCTGTGCTTGTTAGAGCCTTTCTGTTGTCTCGTGGAGGCGATACTTACACCTAGTCCACCTGCTAGTGCAGATGTACCATAGAAGCACGCTTGTCTCAAGCTAACGTTGCGCCGGTTGTAGAACATACTCAGGTAAAGAATGACGCCCGGGAACAAGCCGGCTTCGAACATGCCCAACAGGAGACGGCAGACGATGAGTCCAGCGAAGTTATTGACAAAGCAGGAGAACGTGGCTACCATGCCCCACATGAACATGAGGCCTCCGAGATATCGGGCAGGTTTCATTCGCTTCAGGATCAGGTTTGACTAGATGTCTAATTAGCATGTAAGGCTAGGCTCTGATGAACGCCAAGCTTACCGGAGTTTCGAATATCTAATACACGATTAGTGGAAGTCAACAAAGATTGGGTGAGAGCGACACTTACAACGTAAGTAACGAACAAGATGGATACCGCGATTTGGAACTGATTGCTATCGGGGTCCATGCCAAGATCCTCCTCCATCTTGTAGAGACGAGCATTGCCGATGTTGACTACGCGAATCTGTCAGTCTAGATCTCAAGATGAGCATACCGTACGCACCTCGATCCATGAAGTTCATCAGGTAGATCCAGCATATCATGGGCACGATCCGGATGTCCAGCTTCCTTAGCAGCTTTGCTTCGGTGACAGGATCAATGTCAATCATCGAGGCGGATTGTTCGACGTCTTCGAGTTTGAGAGGCGGGTTTGGCGATGTGTCCGAGCCTTTCTCGTCCCTGTACTCCGGTTCCGTGAGCACGGGCCCATCTTTGTTTGCGTTCATGCTGTCAACAAACGAAAACAAGATTGTATGAGTGCGATCTCAAGTTGGAGGTGTTTCCAGTGGGGAGGTAAGTTGCTGTGATCGTCGTCAACGGACCAAAAAAGTATTGGAACCAGTCTGACCCTTATAACCCGAACACCTGGGGAAGGGTGCCCCGGCCCCATGGGGAAGCGAGATATGCCATGCGCTTGGTATACGGAGACGCGCCGTTGGCATCGATCAGGCAGAATCACCGAAGCGAGTTTGATAATCTCGTCGTCGAAGTGCCGGTAGCCGTTCTTCCGCCCTGGCGTGCTTGGAGGCTCTGGTTGAGGGCGCTTCCAAGCTTCTGATACTGGGGTAATTGGTGGTTAACCAAGACCTTCACCTCCTTGGATTATTAACCTGTTTTGGCAAGGCTGGACGCGGATCGCGTCAACGGGACCAGATCTTCGGTACGGAGGAACGGGTATCTTCTGTTGTGTAGCCTATCATCTTGCGTAACGCAAGGGTATTCGCAATCCCATGTGCCAGATGCTCGTAATAGCAGGTATGCTCAACAACTTTCCCATGTAACGTGCACAGACTCGAATGCCTGTCCGGACCTACAGCTTCTGCACAACTCTGAACAGCCGAACAATAAGACAATCTGCGCTTGAATACGAGAACAATATGCACAGAGTCCGTTAATAGTACACGACCGTGAATCGAGTGGAATGGCCTTGATCACTATCATGTTTGGTGTGTGCATGCTGCGATCCACGGCAGTACTCCTCTTGGTGCTGAGAAATGCCACGGATGCCGCATTTGATTTGACCGGAGGACGCACTGGATCTAGTGAGGAGTACTTAGTCCGAGAGATTGCATAGATATACTGCCTTCCTTTGCTCCGTGGGTGTTGTTGTCATGCTCGATACCAAGTCGCCAAGTCCTTAGCCTGCGTTGACGCGCTTGGCAGTTGTGTCCTATGCAAGGACGTCGAGCTTCTCCACACATCCGATGTTGCTACTGTATGAGGTAAGTGGGTATGACAAAAGATGATTTTTGGTGGTGCATGAGAGCGTAATGACATATCAGCGAGTCTAAGTTGATTCAACAGAGAACGTCGCAATGTGAGGCTCTTCGACGGCTTGTTGTTATTCTTGCCCAGCCGGATAGATCGGTATGAGATGCATCGCGGCTGCGTCTTTACAAATTGATTCGAACGGGAAGGCTGAAACATTGCAGCAGTGCTGCGCCTCGGGCGGAATGATAGATGCTTGTGCGGCGGGCTTCTGCATTCAAGAGGAAGTACGCCTGTTGTGCAGAGCGGGCAAAGGGATGTGATAGACGGCCAAGCACCGAGCCGTTGCCCAGCATGAGGAGGATCAGTAGAGATATGGCGCCGCTGACGATGATGATGAGAGATGATGGATGAACGAAGGCGGAACCGCTGGTGAATGATGGGACGAGGCAGGGGCAGCGCGTCTTGAGTGGCGCGTCGCTTAGTCATCACGCCCTAAAACTCACGGCGGGAAGGCACACAACGACTTGGAGATGCAGTGCTAAGCTCTCAAGACTTGTACATGAGATCCAAGGCACCATTCGACCGATTTAGCCCCACGTGGTCATCCCTGCTCGCCATGTGTCCATTGCAAGAAATCCGTTTGAAAGGCCGCCGTGAAGTATTAACGTGGAAGAGGGGAAGGTTCATGTGCTATCCTCTAATGCTGCCATACAGCCACTAGTGCCCTGATGAGTTCCTCCGTTACTCGGACAACTGTACAGATCTCCCCTTCGGTCTCCAGGCTCAGCACATGGAAGAACACAACGTCTCGTCTGCCAGTCCGTTTCTGCATCTCGAGTAGACTGTTGTAGTAGTTGATACCACACACATACGAGCTCACATCATCACTGAGCCTTAGGTCGACAGCTTGTCTTGATTTCTCCTTTCCTTTCGTCTTCGGAAGGCCGATGGAGGAACAAGCTTCCCTCCACATCTCAGCTGCTGCATCAATATTGATCGTTGTCGCCAGAGATGATGACGCTTTTGCAAAAGTCCTTTTGTTATCTGCTCTCGTAAACACCCGCTTCTCGATATCTGGAATGTCGTGACACCCATCTCTTAGGGCACTACGTTCGATCTCGAATACCCCCGCTGTCGACATCGAGACTCATATACAGCTGGATAGTGTGTGAGCGGACTATCCGACTGCGCTGGTCGAGCGACGCGTATGAAGCGCATTTTAATGTCGTACAATGGCCCTACCCATCCCGAGGGCCAACACGCGCGTGCGAAAGTTCTGTACGCGTAAAGCTTAGAACGGATAGGGCGCTGATGGTATTGGGCGAAGTTGGTGTTGGAAGCGTGAAGCGTTGGCGCGGTCGGGGATGACATGGGTTCCCCACGTCAGGCATGCAAGGTCCGGTAGCGGTGCACTTTGATTTCGAAGAACGCAACCCTCGCAAAAAGTGTACTCCCGGTTTGACTCATACCCACAACCTCCCAGACATAATGCGCTGAGTTCGATACTAGCCCCCATCAATTGTAATTCCTTGCAGCCTCACTTCTCGCGTTCAGCAGCTGGCGGCTCTTTGTGCAAGTCTGACTCGCACCGCCCACCATGGCGAGCAACGGCGTCAATGTCGCGCAGGGTGAGCCGACCAAGGTGACGATCCTGGGCAAAGACTCGATAGTCGTCGACTACGGCATCTGGCAGAACTACATCGCCCAGGACCTGCTTACCAACATTCCCTCGTCGACGTACGTCCTCATCACCGACACCAACATCGGCCCTCTCTACACGCCCACGTTCGAGCGCGCCTTCGCGTCCGCCGCATCTTCGCTTCCGTCCTCCCCACGCCTCCTCACCTACCAAATCGCGCCCGGCGAGACGTCCAAATCGCGGAATACCAAGGCAGCCGTAGAAGACTGGCTGCTGTCGCAAGGATGTGTGCGCGACACCGTCATAATAGCACTGGGCGGAGGCGTCATCGGGGACATGATAGGCTATGTCGCGGCGACATACATGCGCGGCATCAAGTTCGTCAATGTGCCTACCACATTGCTGGCCATGGTCGACTCGAGCATAGGCGGCAAGACGGCCATTGACGTGCCCGCGGGCAAGAACTTGGTCGGCGCCTTCTGGCAGCCCGAGAGGATATACATTGATCTGCAGTTCCTCGAGTCGCTGCCAAAGAGAGAGGTCGTCAACGGCATGGCGGAGGTGGTCAAGACGGCGGCAATTTGGAACGAAGAGGAGTTCACAACACTCGAGGGCAACGCAGACGCTATCCTGGCTGCGATTGACCAAAAGCCCGTCAACGGCCGCAAGAACTTCGACAAGATCGCCAGCATACTGAAGCGCATAGTGCTGGGCTCAGTACGCGTCAAGGCCGAAGTCGTCTCGGCAGACGAGCGCGAAGGCGGCCTGCGCAATCTGCTCAACTTCGGACACTCGATCGGGCACGCTTACGAAGCCATCCTCACACCCCAGATCCTCCACGGAGAGTGCGTCGCGATAGGAATGGTCAAGGAGGCCGAATTGGCCAGATATCTGGGTGTACTGGATCCCTCCGCAGTCGCGCGCTTGACAAAGTGCATCGCGAGTTACGGACTGCCCACATCGCTAGCGGACAAGACGGTGCGGAAGAGGTCGGCCAACAAGCATTGCCCTGTAGACGAGCTTATCAAGATCATGGCTGTGGACAAGAAGAATGCAGGCAAGACAAAGAAGATCG